AGGGTAGCGGCACCAGTTTGTGGACGGGCGCCTATTTGTGGACAGTTTTGCGGTTTTTTGCCATTTCAGAAAACTCACGCCAAAAATTTATTTCCTCGAATGCTCCATATTTTGCACTTGCCTGTCAGCCGCCATATAAATTATGCATGCCCATCAGCATAAGTGAAATTGGACATTTTCGCTCAGTTTTAGACCTAGCACCCCTGAATTCCTTAATTTTTCTAATGATATTATTGAATACTTAACAGGACACCATTGAAGATAAATATAATTGCTGTACATGCTTCATGCCCATATTTTTCTATTCGGCCTACACACGTTCATAATTGTTGACAAAAACTGGTGTCCACAAACCATGTCCATGGATGTCCACAAACTGGAACCAGGCCGTCCACAAATAGGAACCGCGTGAAAATCAACACATATCCATTTAAATGGCTATTGTTGGAAAAGTATATTTTAAATATGTTATTTTAGGGTATGGGCATCAAACTATAAGTGGCTTCCCATTGAAACCAATCAAGCGGTTTCTCGGTTACCCCAACGACCGTAACGCAATTTTGAATAGGAAATTTTCCTTAACCCGTCCACAAACTGGTGCCTTTACCCTATATTAATTTTCTTTGGAAAATATTTCGATATGTCGGACGGAAGTGAAGTGTTTCAATTTTTCGGACCTCAGTGAGCCTTAGACATGAGCACTCCCATGTAGGAGAGTGAAGGGCTGCGTTCCAGTGTCGTACTATTCCTTTACCTCACACGTCTTATTTTGCGATGCAGCAGATGTTTGCCATGAAACAGCATTTTCATTTGAAAGAAGCGCGTCATGCACACATATCTTAGGCTGATTCAAGAATGCTGCCAAAGCAGCTCTGAAACCTTTGCACAGTTCCTATATAAGTGATGCACAAAGAAAAATACATGGTTATCATAAATTCACCACCCTATTTTGATTAGTTATAACTTTTTAAGAAACAGTCAGATTCAATTGGTATTTTGCAGAGAGGTTCATGAGTCAAGGAGGTTTTTTTATATGCTGCAAGATGGTGCTGTATGCCGATAGAGGGCGTTGATGTCGACCGCAGCGCCACCTGCCTACTTGCTGTCATTTTTCAGGTATGAGAAAAAAACCTCTTGCCATGAGCCCCTCTGCCAAATATCAGCTGAAACTGACAATCAAAATTAATCAAAACAATCAAACGTTGTTTGGTAATATGGTAATAACTTTTTAAGGAATAGTCAGATGCAGCTGATGTTTCACAGAGATGTTCATAGGTCCATGACCTATTCGTTTATTTGCCCGGCACATAGTTGTACATGTTGACAGGTGGCGCTGTGGAGACGTAAGCAAAGGTAAGAGATAGAGAATAGGAATTGGATTTAAAAAAAAGGAATGTCTAGCATTCTCAATACTCCTGGCAAAAGATGGTGAAACTCTCAGTGCAGCAACGTCTCACGTTGATATGCTCTTACTACGTAATTAAAAAAATCGAAACTCTGCAGCAGACCCGTCGTGCTCCTTCACATTTCAACTTCGCATATGCAATCACAGCGCCCCTTGTCAATATGAACAAATACATGCCAGACAAAAAAAAACGAATAACATGAACATCTCCGTCAAATATCAGCTACATCTGACTATTCCTTAAAAAATTATGACCAAAGTTTCATTGGTACAAGTCACCACCCTACTTTGACTAGCTATAACTTCTCAAGGGACAGTCAGATTCTGCTGACATTTGCAGAAAGGCTCATGGGAGAAATACGTTTTTTTCTCATACCTGAAAAACGACAGCAAGTAGGTAGGTGGCTCTGCGGTCGACATGAGCGCCCTCTATAGGTATGCAGCGCCATCTTGTGGCATGAGAAAAACCTCCTTTACTCACGAACCTCTGCCAAATATCAACTGAATCTGACTGTTCCTTGAAAAGTTATTGCCGATCACAATAGAGTGGTGACTTTATGATAACCCTGTATATACAGAGTGTAACATATGTCAGGAATCATAGGGATCAATGGCCTAACTTATGACCTAGAAAGGCATAGCCATTGTAGGTTCCGCGCGATGGCAAACGTGCAAGGCCTACAATGCTATGCCTCTCTGGGCCATATGCTAGGCCATAAAACCTTATGATTCCTAACATATGATACACCCTGTATATACAGGGTGGTCCAGGTCAAGTTTTACGAACCAAAATGCAATTTCCTTAGAAACAGCACGTGTTAGTGACTTGAAATTTTGCACAGCATGTTCCTGACATAATTCACCAGACATGAAGTAAATTTCACGCAAATTCGCCACCCTTGACCTTCATTATGGCCTTCAACCTCTTCTTGAAGTTGTTGACGATGTTCCTCGCCTATTTCATTGGAATTTCGTCCCAAATACGTACCAAAGTCTGAGATGATACAGATTGTGGTGGGACTTGGAACAGGCCTTAGACTCGAGGATCAACCAAATGGCGTAGTCAAGAGGGTTCAGATCTTGAGACGAGGGGGGTCATGGTCACATTAGCTTCATGAGACGTTGCTCCGTCTTGCTGGTATGTCCATGGCTCATCCTCAAACAGATATTGAGCCAATGGGAGCAGGACGTCTAGTAGGACGGATTTTATGTAAATTTTCTTGATTTTGATGCACTCGGGAACGAAGACGAGGATGCACTTGCCCTTGTTGGTGACAGCGGCCCACGCAATGATGGAGACCGGCTGCTGGATGCGGAACACCATTCCAGAATGATCGGGAATCTCCACTTGATTTCGCGCCTAAACTCAATCATTTTCCTTGTTGTGGTCGTCGCCTGCACCGCGAATAATTTCCCGTCCGAGAAGACGATGTTGGGGGCAGAACCATTCTTGAGCCTCTGCAGAGTCTGACGAATTCGGGCCAGTCTCTTACTCTTGGTGGCTGCAATGAGGAGCTGTTGCTTCTGGAGTCGGTAGGAGGTGAAACATAGATCGTTCTTGACCACCATCATCATCGTCGACCTCGAGACATTCTTCTCCTTCGCCATCTTCTGATGGATCTGTTGGGATTGCGCCAAATCAGGCGCTTTACTTGGTTGACGAATGTCTTCGTTTTCGTCGCTTTCCTGCTGCCTTCAGATTGCTAGGCGGTAGAGCCTGTCTCAAGGTATCGATCCAATGTCCTTTTGATGAAGGCTCTGCTCAAGTTCAACTTCTTGCCTGATTCTTCAATGTCTGGTCTTTTCAGGCCAAGTTCATGCAGTTCTACGACTAACAACCACCTGGCTTTTAACGCATTTTCTCCACTGGTGTTCAAACGACAAAGTAAAATTCAGGGGTGGATTGAACAGCAGAAACGTACGATTTCAACGAAAAACATTTGAACTACACAAGTCAAATATTGGGTGTAGGATAGGACTCTAAAATTGTGTTACACTTGACCTCAACTAACCTATACATTCTTATGTCAGCTTATGCAGTGTGCGAAATGCTATTTCAAAGAAATGAAACTTTTTGATTATAGGTATAAATCATCTCCGAGAAGAATGACAACACCTGATATTCACACAATCTTTGAGCATAGAAGTCTGAAGCTCCTTTTCATATAGCAATACGAATGACATGCATCTTAATTTTTCAGCACTCAGTTGATGGTTTGAAGACAATGTCATTCACAGGAGTCACAAGATAGCATTCCTTTGGTTCACAAATAGTAATAGACTAAGACTGAGGAACCACTTTCTGAATCCATCTGCTTGGGTCATGACACTTACCCGCACCACATTCAGAGTTCAAGGTTGTTTAGTTTTATCGAGAGGCGATAACACCCATTTGGATACCACGTGTCGAGGTCGAGCGTTCCCTAATTTTAGGGTAGGACTACTCCTCTTAAAGCCAAATATTTTTGTATTTTTTGTGATTTTTTAAATAGCATATCCTAGTTGCTTACTGCCTAGTCCCTTAAGTCAGCTTACCCGCAACACATTGTCCTTTCTTGTTTCACGCAACGCATCCATGACTGCCCCTTTACTCCAACAGCTAGGAATTTCCCTGTTCGTTTGTGAAAAGAAGATACTTCATTTTATCCCGCAGATTCAGCAATAGCCCGACGGGGTTATTCCTTCCTGCTCAGAAGAGGGTACTCGAACCTACTTAGTCTTCCACTCAATATCTATTGATTTTGAAGTTCTCATGGGTAAAGAGTGCCACAACTAGACGAAAATTATACATGAACTCCCTGTGAGTACCTATGGGAACGGCAGGTAAACTATGAGGAATTGTCAGGTATTGCTATCGGTCTGTCGGGGGAAAAACAAGAAAAATTTAGTCTGTCCGCAATATCCATAGCAACCGGACAACACGACTCACTGCGCATCCGTTGCTTTCCGCCTCAGTTAGGGTGCCAGTCTACGACTAAAACATTAATTTCCCTTCCAGCCATCGCAGATGACGGACTCATAGTAGACATTGGGAGGGAGCGGCTACTCGTGGCTGCGTAGACAGGGTTGTCCAACGTACTCAAAAAATCCCAAATCTGGCATCCTACAATGCATACCGTCTTCCCATCTCCATGCAACGCGGACACACAAACCAGTGGGGACATGATCTCGTTATTCGAGACTATTCCCTATGTATCAATGAAAGCTTTTATTTTCTAAGTTGGATGCTAAGGATGCTCCAAAGAAAGATTATTCCTGAAGTATAGAGGCAAGTGGAATGACAAATCTGTACATGGACTGGTACTCTTATTAGTAAAAACGATTTGCTGCCACAGTCTCTCATAGGTCTTCAAAGTGTTCAGGTTTTAGGAGCAGGCCTAAGCAATTATCACCGGAAGACCAACATTGATCAGCAATCAATATGCTTGCTTCTCTTATCCAAGAAGTCATTTTGAGTTCATCGGAGGTTGGGATTTACGGCATAAAGCATCTATAGCTTCATGCTTGAGAGCAACGTGGCGGTAATTTATTTCTAGTTCGACGATTGGCTGTAGATAAACGATTACTTATTACAGCCTCCAGCTTCCTCGACGTATTAGCTCTTGCATCGGCAATACTTTTGCAGACGGTTTTTGCACTCCGCCTTTTCCATACATTCATCATTGGTTTGACATTCTCCACCAACTTCAACCTCTGCAAGAAAATGGCCAAATCGACTCTTAAAAATNGGGGTCATGGTCACATTAGCTTCATGAGACGTTGCTCCGTCTTGCTGGTATGTCCATGGCTCATCCTCAAACAGATATTGAGCCAATGGGAGCAGGACGTCTAGTAGGACGGATTTTATGTAAATTTTCTTGATTTTGATGCACTCGGGAACGAAGACGAGGATGCACTTGCCCTTGTTGGTGACAGCGGCCCACGCAATGATGGAGACCGGCTGCTGGATGCGGAACACCATTCCAGAATGATCGGGAATCTCCACTCGACTTCGCGCCTAAACTCAATCATTTTCCTTGTTGTGGTCGTCGCCTGCACCGCGAATAATTTCCCGTCCGAGAAGACGATGTTGGGGGCAGAACCATTATTGAGCCTCTCCAGAGTCTGAAGAATTCGGGCCAGTCTCTTACTCTTGGTGGCTGCAATGAGGAGCTGTTGCTTCTGGAGTCGGTAGGAGGTGAAACATAGATCGTTCTTGACCACCATCATCATCGTCGACCTCGAGGCATTTTTCTCCTTCGCCATCTTCTGATGGATCTGTTGGGATTGCGCCAAATCAGGCGCTTTACTTGGTTGACGAATTTCTTCGTTCTCGTCGCTTTCCTGCTGCCTTCAGATTGCTAGGCGGTAGAGCCTGTCTCAAGGTATCGATCCAATGTCCTTTTGATGAAGGCTCTGCTCAAGTTCAACTTATTGCCCGATTCTTCAATGTCTGGTCTTTATAGGCCAAGTTCATGCAGTTCTACGACTAACAACCACCTGGCTTTTAACGCATTTTCTCCACTGATGTTCAAACGACAAAGTAAAATTCAGGGGTGGATTGAACAGCAGAAACGTACGATTTCAACGAATAACATTTGAACTACACAAGTAAAATATTTGGTGTAGGATAGGACTCTAAAATTGTGTTACACTTGACCTCAACCAACCTATACATTCTTATGTCAGCTTATGCATTGTGCGAAATGCTATTTCAAAGAAATGAAACTTTTTGATTATAGGTATAAATCATCTCCGAGAAGAATGACAACACCTGATGTTCACACAATCTTTGAGCATAGAAGTTTGAAGCTCCTTTTCATATAGCAATACGAATGACATGCATCTTGATTTTTCAGCACTCAGTTGATGGTTTGAAGACAATGTTATTCACAGGAGTCACAAGATAGCATTCCTTCAGTTCAGAAATAGTAATAGACTAAGACCGAGGAACCACTTTCTGAATCCATCTGCTTGGGTCATGACACTTATCCGCACCACATTCAAGGTTCAAGGTTGTTTAGTTTTATCAAGAGGCGATAACACCCATTTGGATACCACGTGTCGAGGTCGAGCGTTCTCTAATTTTAGGGAATGACTACTCCTCTTAAAGCCAAATATTTTTGTATTTTTTGTGATTTTTTAAATAGCATATCCTAGTTGCTTACTGCCTAGTCCCTCAAGTCAGCTTACCCGCAACACATTGTCCTTTCTTGTTTCACGCAACGCATCCATGACTGCCCCTTTACTCCAACAGCTAGGAATTTCCCTGTTCGTTTGTGAAAAGAAGATACTTCATTTTATCCCGCAGATTCAGCAATAGCCCGACGGGGTTATTCCTTCCTGCTCAGAAGAAGGTACTCGAACCTACCTAGTCTTCCACTCAATATCTATTGATTTTGAAGTCCTCATGGGTAAAGAGTGCCACAACTAGACGAAAATTATACATGAATTCCCTGTTAGTACCAATGGGAACGGGAGGTAAACTATGAGGAAATGTCAGGTATTGCTATCGGTCTGTCGGGGGAAAAACAAGAAAAATTTAGTCTGTCCGCAGTATCCATAGCAACCGGACAACACGACTCACTGGGCATCCGTGGCTTTCCGCCTCAGTTAGGGTACCAGTCTACGACTAAAAGTAGACTACGACCAGTCTATGACTAAAAATATTAATTTCCCTTCCAACCATCGCAGATGACGGACTCATATTAGACATTGGGAGGGAGCGGCTACTCGTGGCTGCGTAGACAGGGTTGTCCAACGTACTCATAAAATCCCAAATCTGGCATCCTACAATGCATACCGTTTTCTCATCTCCATGCAACGCAGACACACAAACCAGTGAGGACATGATCTCGTTATTCGAGACTATTCCCTATGAAATTCCCTATGCATCAATAAAAGCTTTTATTTTCTAAGTTGGATGCTAAGGATGGTCCAAAGAAAGATTATTCCTGAAGTATAGAGGCAAGTGGAATGACAGATCTGTACATGGACTGGTACTCTTATAAGAAAAAACGATTTGCTGCCACAGTCCCTCATAGGTCTTCAAAGTGTTCAGGTATTAGGAGCAGGCCTAAGCAATTATCACCGGAAGACCAACATTGATCAGCAATCAATATGCTTGCTTCTCTTATCCAAGAAGTCATTTTGAGTTCATCGGAGGTTGAGATTTACGGCATAAAGCTTCTATAGCTTCATGCTTGAGAGCAACGTGACGGTAATTTATTTCTAGTTCGACGATTGGCTGTAGATAAACGATTACTTATTACAGCCTCCAGCTTCCTCGACGTATTAGCTCTTGCATCGGCAATACTTTTGCAGACGGTTTTTGCACTCCGCCTTTTCCATACATTCATCATTGGTTTGACATTCTCCACCAACTTCAACCTCTGCAAGAAAATGGCCAAATCGACTCTTAAAAATACTTCGGCAAGACGTAAGCAAACATCAAAATTTGAAGATTGTGGAGACGTTCTTCAAGCTCCTTCCCGGACTTGTGAAAAATCGGCAAGGAGGAGGTAGGAAAGAGATGTTCGATTACCAACTTCCAAACGTGCACTTGCACTACGTTATTCCGGAACAATTCCAGCAGCTGCTTCGGAGCCGTGCTTTATGCGGAGCACGGGTATTTTCAAACAATAAAAGTCGAATATTAAGTATGATCAAGTGTGAAGTCAGTTCTGCACTCAAGAACAATTAATTCATTCAGACTAATTTTTGTTTCACCTGAGGGTAAGTCTTACATGATGTATTTCGATATCATGCATGAAGAGAGTATCACTTCATTAGAATTCGACATGTCCATTAGTCAAACTCAGTCATCCTTAAAAGAGTTCACTTCTCTTAATTCAAAATGGCTGCCACCTGCAGCGCTGGGAATATGTGGCAGGTGTTCAGAGTATTTACGTAATGGAATGTAGAAAAGGAACAAGTGCTGAGTTTTATCTAATATTGCACTCAACTACGAGTATAATAGCGAAACGAAAAACGAAGGGAATACATGTAAGGCAGCAGTAGCTGAGCCAATGCGAAATCCCCAACAAATGATAGGAGAAAAGACATATGTTGATAACGTGAGGAGGGCTACCTCCCTTCCGTCCCTTGTCCACCAGGAAATAAAATGCCAGGAACGATTGCAGAGTAGTTGGATCCTTTCAAAATATCCCTTGTAATCTCCCATCTCTGAAGAGGAGTGCGGAGGATGTGAGGAGAATGTCCGGAGTTTGTTACTGATAAGGCCCATTTAAGTTTCGAAGGGTGCAATAGAGTTCTTTAGAGCTCTTTTCTACCATGAAACTTGATTCTTTCCCAAAGTCACATGCATTTGTCTATGCCACATTCAGGTATCACACCCGAAAAGAAAAACTACTAACAATTCATTGGGAATGTGCCGTGAATCAATAATAATGCTGGTATGTGGGGATGCAGGGTTCAATCAGGTATTTGGCCACGTGGCTGATTAAGTTCGAGAAATAGTGGAACTCGTGACAACCAAATGTAAGGCCAGAAAGGCGCTGGAGCTCTAAGAAACTGAAGGAAGAGGTACGTCGACTGAGAAGACAATTAAACCTTTCTCATGGAAATATGTTGCTGCGGCTCACGTTCCTTTCGATCCAAAACCAATATTCAGAGATGAATATTTTTGTTTTACCCATCAACAGACATTGGTAGCTTAATGTGTTAAACTAGCGAGTTTGTTTGCCCATCGAACAAACAAACGCGCTATGCACGCGCCTTCGGCGCTCTATGATCAAAGAAAATTACTAATGCAATTAAAGCATCCGTTTTCGAAGTTTACCCCTAACGATGCGAACAAACTTCTCAGTTAACGTGTTTGGCAATTCCTGCGCCTTTGGCGCTCACATCATAAAATAAAGTTATTTCAGAAAGTATTCGTAGCGACAGTTGACACAGTCTCCTTTACATATAAACCTCCAAAAGTATGTAATAGCAAACATACCATCTCAATACTTCAGTGCTTCAATGCAACAATTATTTGTAGACTGCGAAATCCCGAGCAACGAATTCGAGAGAGTTTCAGTCGGAAAAATTTTGAAGCTCCAATATTTTCACTCGTACAAGATGCTCATTTTGCAAGAGCTCAATGAGGATGACTTGAATTTTGTGAAACATTCAAGCAAAAAAAAATTTGCGGACGGCTCCAATTTGACTTCGCGCCTTCGCTTCAGTGAGAAAGCCGCATTCTTTCCGAACGGTGATGGGAACAAGCACAACTGCAGATATTAAAGTCGAGAAAATCCGCGCATAAAAGAGGCGGGAATTTTTGCAATGTAATTGTTGGACCCTTTTTCATTTCAGAAAATCGAACTAGCGGAACGTAACTGGATTTGTTCCAAAAAGTTATGAGACCTGAATAAGCAGTCAGCTTACAAAACTTTCAAATTCTCCATGATATTGTATGACGCTATCCTTCTGAATCCTTGCGTTGTTTATCTAAGAAACAACTTACGTCTTCAATCCTTGATGAAGTCATTACAATCGTTGTCTTCAACGTCTACCGGGCCGATCGCAACCATCCTCATGAGAAGTCGGGGAACAAGGAATCAATCTACATAAATATTCTGTGGGATCCTTCTCCTGAGCTTGTATTCTGTTCATTGTTAAACATAAGCCAACGGGGAAGCAAGGACGATGCGGCCGACCGCATCGAAGACCTCGTAAATAATTTGTCGCCCACGAGGATCACGCAGTCAGCGTCATGAAAAAGGCCTAATTTCACCCTATGCAGCTGGATGGCTGCATGCAGTTTCCATTCCCACAAGGAACAATGCCTATCTCGTTCAGATTTGGACGATCATAAACTTGGCACCGAAGTTCTCTCACCCCTGTCTCTTTGACTGAGCAGATGCAACAGCAACAATAAATGACATTACATGAAACTCATGAACATCCGGACGATCCGGAAGTAATGAAATCCAACCAATCTGGTTTCATTCTGCCCTGTCCATCAGTTATTGTGGAAACATACGGAACACTGAACATTGCGCGTGTCAATTGGGGCATGTAACGAAATATACTTACTGCATTCGTCTTCCTCGGCGGCAAATCCAAACATACAATGACATGTTGAATTGCGGCAATGGGAATTGATTGGGTCGCATAGCTCCGATGGTGAGCATTGCTCTCCCAAACCCCCTCCTATTTGTAATTAAAAAAAAATACACCTTTAGCATTTCTCAACTTGCTGAGTCTTCTGCTCGCGCTGGTCACACTCACCCCGGGAGAAGGAAGCACAACACGATGCGCAGAGGACGAGGAAGAAGACTGCTCGCATTGTGCCTGGAGTCCTGGCAGTTGAATACTGGATTATCTGAATGAAGATCCAGGGAGACGGTATGGAGGGGAGTCCTGCACGCCTCGCATCGAAGCGCGATTGCAAAAAACTTCAAGTGGCTCCGGCGCTCTAATTTCAGGATCGTGTGAGCCATTCGCTTTGAATAGGCGTCGAGCCTCTCTTCAGCGGCGGTCATATGGTTCTGGAAATATGCCGATGTATAATTTGGAGAGAAGTAACTGGTAAGTTGGCCAATCCAAAAACAGGGATACCACATTCTCTTGCATGAATCTACTTTCTTTTAGCACACTTTAGACCTCTCTCGCGCATTCCTGGAAAAAATAACATCTCGTATTTAAATTTAGCATGTTCCACCCACTTACGACGGTGGTCGTGGGAACCAAGGGAGACCTGTCAGTTAGTTTTAATCCTCTCAGTGAGTAAGATGGGGAAACGAAAAGCTCCTTCCAGGAGAAATGGAAAGTCATTCTCGCTGTTCCCAAAGCTGGCAAGAAGGACATCTCAAAGAACTTCAACGTAACTCCTTCCTCTTTGGCAACAATCCTCAAACGAGAAGCGTCCATCGAAGCAACTGTGCAAAGTGGAGAGAGGGCAAGCAGTGTGAAGAGAGTTCGTGCAGTTCAACATGAGAAACTGGAAGAGGCTCTGAAAATGTGGATCGGACAAGTTCATGCGATGTTCCTTTGGACGGCGTGACACTTTGTGCGGCGGCGCAGAATTTTGCCGAAAAACTTGGAGTGAAGGATTTTCACGCAAGTAGTGGCTGGTTGGCGAAGTTTAAGACGCGGCAGGGCATGATGTTCAAGGAGATGGTGGGAGAAGGTGCTGATGTTCCTAGTGCTGATTGCCATACGTGGAACTAAACCCTTTTCAAAACTAATACGATCCGAAGGACATCTTCAACCTTGATGAGACTGGCCTCTTTTTCAAGTGTTTACCAGATAAGACCATTTTCTTCCAAGGGGAAACTCCAGAAAGTGATGGAAGTGAAAACGACGAAGATGAATATAAAGATCAGGATAAGGATCAAGACCAGGTAGAGTCGAAAATTCTACTCGTTCTAGCAATCGAAGCCTTCGACTACTTCTCAGAGGCCGAATGTTGAGCCTGAAACATTTCAAGCATTGAGTGCTCTGCAGACTACGGCTCAAAGACTTCCCCAGGAAGGAGTGCAGCAGTCAATCATTAGGGACCTTCTTTCCAATGAATAGACAGCGTTGTTGACTCGTCCGATTTTTATTACACATAATTTATGTACCCATTTAAGTTCATACATTACCCTTGAAAACTGGAATTTTGCAATATTGCATGCGTTTATACCTTCGTACTACTCCGTATTTTATATATGGACAACGACTTGCTTTTTGACATTTTGAAGAGAGATTGACATAGGTTTAACAGATCTCTTCATTTTTCGGGGAAATGAGGGAAATTCCTTACAACAAGTTTTCCTTATAACGAATTTTTTTTTAGCCCCCGTCCCTTCGTGTTCGTTATATGAAGGGTCCACAATAGTTAATCCTAACTTTCTAGGGTATCCATATCACAAATGAAGGGGTGCTTGCACGGCATAGGAGCCACAACCGAATTAACGGTCCCGAAGGCAAGCACGCTCCTGTGGGAAGCGGAACGAAAGCTCACGGGTTGCCCAAGGCAATGGCTAGAACGAGCCATTTTACCGAGTCCTTCACTATGTAGATTCTCCCCCGGAAGAGAAGGCCACGCTGTCTGGGGTCGTGGGTCTCGGTCCAAAGCCGATCGGCCATCGAGCCCGGTTTTGCGATTCATCTCTTCCACTGTATTTCATTTTTTCCTGACCTGCATGTTTGCATGATAGATTCAAATTTCGAGCAAGAAATGGGGGCGAGAGAACTTCTTGCAGATGAGGATGCCAACAGAAAGCAAACCCGTAGAAAGTCCGAAATTTCTTTTACGGAAATGAGAGTGATGACGCAAGGGCTTTCTCCTTGCTCTTTTCGCAATATTTAGCTAGAATACGGGATTCCATGGCGAACGAGGAAAGACGTATAAGCTTTATCTCTATGGATGGAGTAGCGAACAAACACAGTTCCCTCACAGGATATGCGATACTTGACGGTGCCATGCTCAACTTTTTTTCGAAACACTCGAGCTGAGGAGCAACCGATTTTCTCCGCCTCTGCACTTACGAGTAGAAGCTTTTCCTCTGCTCCGCTGATGCTCCATGAAGGACCAATGAATGGAGGCCGATGGTCGATGGCAGAAGTTGCGGCTGTTTTAGTGTCTGGTATTCGTCGATGCTCGCCAATACGCAGAAACTACCTACGAGGATGCAGTTTCGGGGTTAGCTTGCTGTCCTTGGCATATGCACCACGGATGGGACAATGCTTAAAGCTGAAGGAATGCTTGTAGTGCTGTTTCCGATATAAGGTATGTATAAAATAAGAAGTAGAGTGTACCCACATTCTGAACCTTTTTGCATAATTGTGAAATATGGAAACATAAATGAATATGAAAACTTACTTAGACAAGTCGAAGCGCGACGATGGAGCAAAACCATTTCCCATTGACTAAACATGTTCGAAGAGGAAAAGGAGAAAATTTTCGCGAAAAAATTCAAGTTCAAACAAGATGCTACGACACCTAGCGATGAAAAAATGAATTGATACTGCCAACACAAAGCACTCAATTGTGGCACTCAATACATTTCCTGACTATTCATCTCGAACGATATTCCGTCTTCAGACATGCATAGTTGTTTCGAACTATGCATGCCATGTGCGAATCCATATGGCCCGGTTATATGCTATTGTAGAGAAAGGGATGGCATAGAGAGGCACGATTGAATGTCCCGGGTCCGGTGGCGTAATGGTAGAACACCTGACTGGCAATCGTGGCCCGTGTTCAATTCCCGGCCGTCCCCTGGCTTTCTTTCCTCTCTTGCCATCCAATCTTCCCTGCCTTTGGTCCCCATGGCACTATGGTCCGGTTTGCACGGCAGTTCCTACAACGGACGACCTTCAACAAACACGAAATGTTAACATCTGTCAAAATTAAACCTCTCGATCGCAGATGTACAACTCCTGCCCACTAGAACCACTTCATCGAGTCATTTACTGTACATATGAAAGTTACCTCTCGGAGATAAATAACTGGCTATAGCGATGAGAATCCGTTGATTCGAACCAGTGATCATCAGATTTTTGTAATTATGCCATTGATCTTCTCTCCCCTTGGTTTCCAACTGGTCGATTCGCATTTTCAGACCCCTGCATTTCGCGCAGTAATCACCTGCACTTGAACCCACTGATGCGCCTTATCCTAGACAAACACTTGGTAAGTGGGCAGATTGTTCACGAGTGAGGGCACCACGCCCATCCCATTTGACCCATTAACGATGTAGGAAAATTTTGAGATAGTGGATGGAGAGGATCCTTTGAAAGGTTTGGGACCACTCTTGCATACTTCTCCAGCTCACTCGACTCGCACCATCTGTAGCCCCTGCCCATTGAGTCTTGAGAAACTGGACGTTACTTCTTTTATTTACGTCCGTCAGACCATGAAAGTTTGCAAATATGTGTCCAAGTTACTTTTCATATCGCCTAGTACAACATCAGTTCTTGTATTTAAAAAACCAAGGCGGCCAGAAGCACATCATTGCGGCTCAAGTGGTTCTTCGCTTCAAAATCCCGTCAGACCATCAAAATTGAGTGGAATTCAGCTGGTAGTTACGTTTTTCGCCATGACCATCTTCTCCCGCGGTCATATTTTTACGGTGCTACAGGGTTCGTAGCCCGTTGTGGAGTTCGGGTGGAAATAAGATCACAATGGGAAATCGGTAACAATTCAATACATCCTGTATTTATATTCCTTACCACAAAAGTACATCATCAAAAATCAACAAACAGTTCCAGTGCCTCTACACTCGACTCTCGGCGGGGTGAATTAGTCCGGGGATGGAAAGCGCTCCTCGATGGGCGACGAAGGGGGTCCTTGCTCCTCGAAGGGTGTCAGGCGGTGTCTTCTGAGGTCGGGAAAACCTCCGTCTCTTCCAAGACGGTACCACGAGGGAAACAGCGCATCCTTGTGTTTCGACCAGCTCTAGGGCCGTACTTGCCTGTGCTAGGCGGCCGGTATTTCTCCTGCTCGTCGTCCCGGCCCACTTAGTCTTGACTTGCGACTGCGGTGGACTAGGGGGGGGGAAATTCCCTGTTCCGGGGAACTTCGTCTCCTGGTCGTGGAGCGTAGAAGCAATACAGGTTAGGTACGGAGCTATCTCCTGGTTCGCTCTGTTCCAACCCGTTCCAATCTGTTCCGGTGAACAAAGGAGGGAGAATTCGCGGAGCGAATGCGGTCCGTACCTACCTCTTCAGGGCTTGGGATCGTGCCCAGATTCCCCTACTCTACTTCATGGAGCCTTCAAGACGGGAAGGTCGGTGGTCCCGAAAAGATAACTCAGAGTGAAGGAGTTGGGGAAAGCTATTGGTATTCGCCTGCGACCGTACTTACAGGGCTTAGATCGAGTCTGTTTTCGGGATGGATGCTATCTCCCGGTAGTGAGGTGCTTCTCGGCAGAGGTCGAGCTTCAGTGGTACTTGAGAGGGAACTCCTGGTCCCTAGTCGAGGAGGGGGGAAAGGTTGGATGTTCCGCCCGATCTAATTTTTTTTTCCTTTAAAACAATAGGAGCTAAAGGTATGGTGGGCCCCACTGCCATGTGATGAACCGTCACATGACTCCCGCCCACCATGGCGAGATCCTCCCAACACCAGGGCCGGCAAAGTGCAAAACCCTGGTGAAACTGATGACGAAGTCATGGGAAGATGTCCCATGACTAAGGTGTGACGACGAGTCTGGAATAAGACCCGCATTCACACATGGATCTCTCCCGTTTACGTTTTAGCTGTTACCTCTATTTATGCTTGGAGACAGAGAGCGGAAATTTAATAGGAAGCAACCTGTCTTTTATTAGGTTAGTTTTTTGGCACAATTAAGTTTTAGATCCACCCGTTTCAGTGGAAGTTGGAAGGTTTTTATGTACTAGCAGTTTAGTATTTTTGTTATGTATTTACAATTTTTAATTAAACCCTATTAAAATGTACATCCTGTCGGAAATGAAGTTAGGGGTAGAAGTCCCATGAGAAAAGAAGGTGTTTCCAGGTGCCAGCTGGCCAGAAGGGCCTTATCAGACCAGTTAG